TAAAAAATAATCAAATCAGTGAGATCAAAATAATAAAAAATAAATAATGTGAGTTACATTGGTTTGCATATTAAAGAAACACTGATTTTCATTATATTTTTATCGATATAATATTTAATGTTTGCATTGAATTTCTACGTAAAATATTTAAAGTGTTGATTCCAATAAAAAGTAAGACAGAATTGTAAATCTTTACGATTTTTAATTAAATCAATGAATAAAATTTATGATAGTGAATTGGATAATTTATAGTTTTGAGCATTACTAAGATTAAATATCTTAATTTTTATGTTGAAGAGCGTGATGTAGAATAATCATTATTTTGCAGAATTATTTTGAAACAAATATTTTCATTTGATAAATTTTTTTATTAAAATTAAATAATTCGTAATCTGTCCCTATATAAAATTAAATAAAAATGAACAACAAATTAATAAACTGCCTTTTATTTTATACAAAATGTAGTTTTATAAAGCCACCTTATCGTGGTGGTGTGGTTTGTGTGTGTTGTCGATCCCGAGAGCTATGCCGGCGGTAGCTTAGCTACTGGCAGGGTCACCCAAGCCGGACAGGTCGGAGGGGAGACACCGGACAAAGAGGAACACCCTGGTTCCAGGCTGGGGGTTGGGCGTAGGGCTAACAACCCGACCCTGTAAAAAAATCTTGTTGCGAAGTTTCAAGTCAATGAATCCGGACCGAAATTTAGAAGACGACCTGGCAAATCTTACATGGAACTGAGAATCGGAGCATGGAACATACGCTCTTTGTATAAAAGCAAAGGGCTGCAACTCTTAACGGAACAGCTGGATAATTACAGAGCTGATGTAATGGCTCTGCAAGAGATGAGGTGGCTTAACGATGGAATAATCGAGAAGAGAAATCACACAATCTTCTATAGCTGTGATAAGAAGAGGCATTTTTTTGGAACGGGTTTTGTTGTGGGCAAACACATTCGTCATCTTGTCGTGGATTTCGTGCCAAAGTCTCCAAGGTTATGTAAAATTAGGCTAAGAGGAAAATTCTTTAATTACAGTCTTATAAATGCCCACGCACCTACTGAAGACAAGGATGAAGACGAGAAAGAACTTTTCTATGAGAACCTGCATTCTCTATATAACTCCTGTCCACAAAACGACATCAAAATTATTTTGGGTGACTTAAATGCTAAAATTGGAAAGGAAGCTGAGCACAGGCCCACTATTGGAAAATACAGCCTGCACGAAACAACAAATGACAATGGACAGAGGCTCATTCACTTCGCTGCAGAACATAGCATGGTCATATCCAGCACCTTTTTCCAACACAAGAGAATTCACCAAACGACCTGGAGATCACCAGATGGAGATACCTCCAACCAGATCGACCATATATTGATAGACTCCAGACATATGACGGACATACAAGATATTAGAACCTATCGTGGGGCCAACTTTGACTCAGACCATTACATGGTAATGAGCAGGATCAAGGCCAAACTATCTAATGCACGTAAATGTCATGGGAAACGTCTTGAGAAATTTGACTGCGAACAATTAAAGACCCCTAGAGTCAGGGATGACTTTCAGTCACAACTAACTATGAAGCTTGATGANACTTACACTGTGTAAGACCATGCAGAAAGTTAAAATCCAAAATGACTTCTCGGAACCAATGGAGGTAAAAAATGGTGTAAGGCAAGGCGATGCTTTGGCATGCCTACTCTTCAATTTGGCATTAGAAAAAATTATCAGAGATTCAGGAATCAATACCAGAGGACATATCTTTCATAAGTCTGTCCAAATTTTCGCTTTTGCCGATGACATTGACATCATAGCTCGAACACAATCTGACTTAAAGCAAGCCTTTCTATCCATGGAAAAAGAGGCAGAAAAAATGCATCTCACTATTAACCAGGAGAAAACCAAGTACATGCAATGCACCAAAATAACTGATTCTACAACTCACTTGCAAATTGGTGAATACAAGTTTGAAAAAGTAAACAGTTTTGTTTATCTTGGTTCTGAAGTCAACGTTAATGGCAATATCGCACCCGAAATACAAAGAAGAATCAATAGTGCAAGTAAATGTTTCTATGGATTAAAAAAATATTTAAACTCAAACCTACTAAAAAGAGATACTAAACTGTTAATTTATAAATGCTTGATCAGACCTATCCTAACATATGCCTCAGAAACTTGGACAACAACACAGAAAGATGAGAATTCCTTGGGAATCTTCGAACGTCGGATCCTAAGATCCATTTTTGGGGGCAAACAAGTTGATGGTACTTGGTACAGACGTTCAAACTCACAACTCTATCGGGCCCTTAGAGAGCCTGAAGTTGTCAAGTACGTAAAAATTCAAAGAATTAAATGGGCTGGTCACATCATTCGAATGAACAGAGAGCGTTCGACAAACATAATCTTTTCGGCTCAGCCCATCGGATCAAGATCCAGAGGTCGACCAAAGCTGAGATGGGCCGACTGCGTGGAAAGAGAAATTTCAGCCTTAAAAGTCTCAAACTGGAAGACAACTGCCAGGCAGAGGCAGGCCTGGAGGAAGTTGATTGAGAAGGCCAGGGCCCACCCGGTGCTGTCGTGCCATTGAGGAAGGAAGGAAGTTTTATAAAGAGGAATTAGAAAAACTAATAGTTGTAATTTTTAATGTAATGACAAATAATAGGAGGTTCATCTGAGTAAACAAATGATTTAAATTTGAAACATTATAAATGGCCCGAACAACTTTTTGTTTTTGATTGGTTTGAAATTTTTATTTCAAAACATTTAAAATGTTTTTCTTATTGTTTGATCAAACTCAAATGACAGTTTAAAAAATTGCGTTTGTGTTCTTGGAAAAACAATTATGAAAAATTTCTTCAACAAAATCAACTTTGTGAATATGAAAATAAATATGTATTGTTTATTATTTTTTATTTTAAAAATACATTTCCTTTCGCACGCAAAAACAAAATGTAATAAAGCTTTGCGAGTAAATTCCATCAAAATTATCCAATATCAATATCTAATTTATGTCTTATAGTATTAAAAATGCAGGCATATTTAAAATTTACGATATAAATTTGCTCATTTTATGCATTGTTTGTCTTTGTTTAGTTTAAAACATTACAAACTGATAACCACACCAAGTTATGTTTGGTTTATCTAAAACAACAAAAAACAAATAATAAATATTTTAGAATTTTGATCATATAATTGTAATTTGTAATTGAATGTAATTGATTTTTGATCATTGAATTTGTACTAAAAATTATAGGCATATAATCTTTATTTATTTGTTGAAAGATTGATTTGCTCTTCTAAAAACTTGCGATCAACTAACATTGCGGTAAAAATGAACTTCATAAATGAATAAAGTTCACAAGTGGCTAAATGTTTAACGTACCTCACTGCTTTTCCCTTTATTTTGTTCTCTCATTCACTCGCTACATCCAGAATAATTTGCATTTACCGTTGCTATTGAGAAAGAGATAATAAAAGACAATTGCTATAGGCTCACAATCGATAAATATCTCGATAACTATCTATCCGTATTTCCGTATCAATATTTTTTTTCCTTAAATTCTTATTATATTGCTCAACTTTAATTTACTAATTCATTAATTTAGTATAAATACTAAATTTTAATGCTTGATGATTCATTTGAAAGAAATCCGAATTATCGATAAAAATATTGTGCCATAAATCTCAAGTTAATTTTATACAAAAAATTCAGATTTAAGTGTATTATGAGGTTAAGAATAATGTGACAAAAAATATTTTCATATTAAGCTACAATTACTTGTTTAGAGAAAAACGCGTTCCTATTTGATGAAGGTTTAATATATAATTTTGTTTTTCTAAAAGTAAAAGTACTTGGTTAAATAAAATTGTTTATTTCTTTTTTCTAACGACACTTGAACAGGCCATGTTTGCCAGCAAATTAAGCAATTCGCTAATTAAGTCGAGAAGGTGCACCTACCGTTTGACAAGAATAAAAGGTGAAAGTCCGTCCCAGCTCTGAAATTGAAGGGAACATGGCGGATCTTCTCATTCAAGAGGCCATTTCCTCAGTTTAGACATTTATGTGCAAGGGAAGAAAAAATTTTATAGATACATGTACGCATAGTACTGCTCAGCGACCGACCACAGGACTTTCAATTCAACAGCATGTATATTGCATGTACTCAGTGGATCTTTGTAGAGCCAAGGATCGAACCCCAGTCTGATTCTCCAACCACTGGGCTACCACGACCCATTACTTCTTATTATTTATATAGGTAACCTACAAAGGGCTAATACAGACGAAAACTACAGAAGAACATTAAATGAATATTCTTAAGAAACTGAAGCGGTAAGATTTTAATTGAACAAAAAAGTTCATTGGCTTAAAATATATGTCGATAGAAATAAAAGTCAGCATGTTTCAAGAGCAGAAAAATACAGGGTAACAAAAAAATATAGGGATCATTTTTGAATGTTTATATTTCCAAAATTTATTACATAAATTCAGCGATGCTTCTCAATATTTTGACCTCCGGCATAATAGATTTGTCTACAACGTTTCGGCCAGGATTTTAAAGCCCGCAAAATGATTTCCTGGTGGATTTTCTTCACCTCTTCTCTAATAGCTCTTTGAAGGCCTCTCAATGTAGAAATTCTTCGCTTATTCAGTTTGTTTTTCAGATGTCCCCATTGGAAATAGTCGCATGGTGCAGCATCAGGACTGTTTGGAATCCATTGTTCTGGTCTCAGGAATTGCACTTGCTGATCTGTTAGGAATTTCTGGGTGACCTTAGATGCATGCGATGGGGCAGAGTCCTGATGGAACACAGCATCACCATTAGGGTACAATCTGCAGTAATCATCCTTAAGAAAGGGCTTTAATGTCTTCTGTATATAATACTCAGAATTTATTTTGGCCCCAGGTTTCACAAACCGAGGTTTGGTCACACCATGGGTGGATATGCCCATCCAAACCATTACGCCTTTGAGATGAGCCACAGTGGTTGATGGTGTCAAGTCTCACCTGTTCTGCCCGCGACTAAGATATTGAACTTTAGATTTGGCATTGGTATCAGAAAGATAGATCCAAGCTTCATCAGTTGTAATGAACATTCGCCACCTGTCCTTACGGAGAAGCTTGTAGAGGGACCATGAACGTTGCCTCCTAATCTGCACCGATCTCTCACTTAAATGATGACATTTAGGTTTTTTATGGCATTTTTTCTTTAACTTTAGTTTTAGTTGATAGCTTACAACTTGCTGACTCACGTTAAGAGCTTTAGCCATGCTTGCCTGTGTTGGTGGATCCGGTTTTGATGTCATCTTATCAAGCTTCTGCAAATCTGATTTCTTCAATTTGCTTGGCCGTCCACTTCTTTTTGGTTTTGCATTATTTTGCATCGATCCGTGTTTTGAATTCTTGATACGACTGATATGGCTGAGTGAAATCGCAATACAATTTAAAATGGGTTTGTATAATCCTGTGGCTGCAGCGAAGTTCTAAAAATGCTGATACTTGACCAATTAGCTTTTTGTCAAATTTCTTCAAAGGCGTTTTTGTGATTTTATGAAATAGTATTGAAATTGAAAGTCTAATAGCAGAGCTTTAGATCAGTAAGCTATATATGTAAAAAGGCTTTAAAATTTTGGTAGTAGATAGCCACAAAAGTGATCCCTATACTTTTTTGTTACCCTGTAAACACCTATTCTGAAGACTTGAAAGACGTAAATGAGAAGCAGCAAGATAGATTAAAAATATGAAGCGTAAAGTTGCCAACAACAAAAATAAAGGTTAGAAACACAAATACAAAAACCGTAGTAGCCGAGAGTAATTCAAAAATATAGATGTAAAAACAGAGCAAGTAAAACCACTGTCGTCGGAGGAGCAAATCAGGGTCAAATGCAAATGAAAAATGATTTTTTCTCCTCCTTGACTAAATCATTTTTTCAGGTGAATGTGGATTTAAAATATAAGTCCGTAATTCATCTACTCAATTTTCTCTGAAAACCCATTTTATTCTTAATTGCCCCTCTTGGCCGGCCGCAGTAGTTTATCTTGTTTTATTTTTGTCATCTTTGTTTTTGCTTCATTCGCGTATACTGTGATTTTTCAAGTTTTATTTTTCAGATTATTTTTTTAATTGTAACTTTACGTTTTATGTTCCTTACACTTGTGTTTCTTTTCATTCATATCTGGTAAGTCTTGAGAATGGGCGCTTATTTATGAGCACTTGAAACATGTCAACTTTTATTTTCATCTGCATATTTTTGAAGCCAATGAAGTAATTTAATCAAGTAATGTACTTTCGAAAGACAATTTTTCTATTCTTATAAGCCTAAGTTTAAATCATTCTTATAGTTTAAGTTTCTTAAAGTTTAAGTTTAAATCACTTTATTCTGAAAGTTTTTTACCATATATTTTATAGAATATACCTTAGATTAAAGTTTATTTCATTATTTATATATTTGTTTAAGTTATCCATGTAGATTTCAAGTACTTCCAGTATATAATAAAGTATATAATAAAGATTTTTTTTATCTATCTTGCCTAAAGGCCTTTGTTGCGGTGAATTTGAATTAAAATACAAGTCAATAATTTATCTATTCAATTTTCCCTACACTTTCTTTTTTCCGGCAACATAATACTCAGATAAGCCAAAATGTGAAAGAAAGCTCCTTAAAGTTGCCTATGATGAAAAACTTCTTTCGCTTCAAAAATATATAAATAATTAATAACAGTGGACAGGCTTCAAGAGCTCAAAAACAGGTGCCAATATTCAAGACTTGCCTGACTTGAATAAGAAGAAACAAAGTGATTTGAAATATTCCATTTTTCATTAACAGTTTCTTCGTTTTTTATTTCAAATCACTTTTTTTTCTTTTCATTCAAGTCTGGCAAATAGAAGCCTGTTTCTGAGAGCTTAAAACAAGTCGACTATTATCTCTTATTGACATAATTTGGAAGACAATGAGGTTTCTTATCATAGGAAATATCCTATCGCTTCGATTTCCGGGGGCTATTTACTATTCTTAAAGTTATTTGAAAAAATACTATTTTTTTAATATTTACATCTCCCTTTTAATTTGAATTCTATTGTTAAATAAATTATGTGATAATATTTCCCTTCGTCTGCTTGATTTGCGAATTCAAAATTGAAAACGAAGAATTTTAAGTTTATTTTTCCTTCGAAAAAATTACTTTAATTAGCATTGTAAGTAGCTGGAAGTTTGATCCTTAAAATTTAATCATCAGAGAAAACTATGTTGGTTTAATGAAATTTTTTTTAATCAGAATTTAAATTTTTTTTTTGTAATAACTGAAACTAAACTAACAGTTTGATTCATTAAATACTTTAAATATCAGCATTGACTTTTTTTAGCGTGCAAATTTATACACTTTAACTAACTCCTATTAATTTTAATCAGGCTGTGAAACTAATGAAAAAATTCAGTTAAAGCATTTCTTTCTTTAAATGCAAGTTTGACTTTCAAATTCGATACTCCTTAAGGACTTGAATTTTTTAGATAAATGTGATCTTAACAATTACGTTTGAACCTTACAGTTTAATTGAAAACATTTTAGTTCTTTTTCTTTAATTTAAAATAACGTTTCTCATTAGACTTAATCAAATAAAATTTGTTTAATTTATTCATTACTTGCACTGTAATTCTAGTGAAACTTTCAATTCTTTTTGAAATCTAAGTGCTTTTTCAAATTAATTCATTATTAACGCTGTATTAATTAGTTTATTAATATAACCCAAATTGTTGTGTATCAGCTTTGTTCATACTAAATTTTTGATTCAAATTGCAATTAATATTAATTTTGTTTTAAACTTGCAAAGATCACGTTTTCAGCAGATTGCTGACATTGCATATAAAAATTTCCTGTTAAAAATGGAGTACAAAATTGAATATAAAGACAAATTCATTCAGTTTCCAGAGCAGTAAAATATATGCAAAAACATTTCCTTTTTCCCTAAAAGAGGCATTATATCAATATGGCTCGTAATTCATGATGGTATATTATTAAACAAAAAAGACTGAACATAGACTTACCTAAAAAGTCTGAGGGAACCAGTCTGGTCCATCCCAGATCGTTTGGATGTAGATTGTTAGTATGTTAGTAAGTAGACATACAAAATCTTAAAATATAATCATGACTAATTTAATAAGAAATATATATATATATATATATAAATATA